AACTGTATTTATAGACTTCTCCCTTCAAGTGGTTTTTTTAAAAAACTGCCCCCATCACTATATTTCTAGAAAAAGTGCCAATTGTTCTAGACAGTGCCAATTGATGTGTAAGTTCTGGCCACACAGTAGAGAAACAGAATTTTTTTCTCTGTGTCTTATAACTTGGCCAGTCTATCCATTTAAGGTTCCCCCCCCCACATTCCTTGTTTTTGTAAATACCGTAAGTGTGATTCATTGAGAATTTTTAATACTGTAAATTCAGAGTAGCCACTCTTTTTTTGCCACTGTAAATCTCAGTGAAATCCTCTAACTGCTTTTTGCATTCAATTCCTTTTCTTTCAATATTATTTTCATGCTCCTCATTTATGCCCTCTTTTACCACCTTCTCCCCTATTTCCTGTTCTGTGTATTCCAACAAAATTTCTGACTTTTTATTATCCTTTAGTGATTCTCGCATATTTTTAAACATCTCAATTAATTCCTCACACATAAAAAACTCCATATTGCCAATTTAAGAAATTGTTAAAACTTTTGAATTATATCACTTTTAATTAAAACTTAAAATCCATATAGTCTCTTTTTGTTTTCAAATAATGTCCAATTCAAATATTTATCCAGTCCACTCCAAGTTAAAGATTTGTTATCTTCCACAGCCATTGAGAATCGAAACCAAGCAATGTAGAAAGACAAATACTCTTTAAAAGTTCTCACAGTTTCCAAATTATCTTTTAGTAGTCAAGGTCACAGCTGTACTTTCCCTTCTATTTTCCAACAAATATTGCAGTACTCTCTTTCTGCCAGCAGATGTCTCTCTCAAATCCACAATATTCTCAAACCAATTAAATGTCAAATCTGTCAAAAATGTTTTAAATCCAAATAAAAAATACTTTTCCTCGGGTTCTTTTCTTTTGTTATTTTTAGTTTCTCCAGATCCAATTGTAGATATGAAACTTTTTTGGGCTTTGGTACTTTAGCCTCCTCTTCTTTGTTCTTCTCCCTCCATAGAATTTCCCAAATGCCAATTAGCCACTCTTTTCAGCTCCAAGACACCTTTTAATGTTCCAATTTGAAATTTTCTTTTACCTGTGAGTTGGCCAATCACTCACCCGGTACCAGCACTTTGTTCAAACACCGCTCCTTCACAAAAACTTAGTCCGGTTGCCCCAGCTTCAGCTTCAGGTTGCCCCAGCGGCACCCCCACTGCCGGTCCGAATAGCTGCCTCTGACCTTTCGAGGAACTTGCCTGTTCCTCTTGATCATCCGAGACATCTCTCCTTCTTCACCGTCCCTACAGGACGGTTCCGGTCTGAAGACTCCCCGACAGCGGTTTGCCTGGCTGGATTTTCACGGAACTCATCAGAGCCTGCTATTTTTCCAGCTGGTCTCGCCGTGATGCTTCTGGTTTTTATACAAAAAATGCTTCTGAAGATAACAGTAACACAGTTGGAAGGGACCTTGGAGGTCATCTAGTCCAACCTTCTGCTCACGCAGGAGACCTATACTAGGGATTTGAACCGCCAAACAAAGATGTGTTACACTGAACTGATAGGCTGATTTAAAAAAACCTTTTTGTATGGTCAATATTAATGCACCTGTATTTTAAATTGTCTTTCTCAGTTGTTAAATTAGTTGTAAATAATTTTTAATTGTTGTTTCAAATAGATTTCTTGGCATTTTGAGTGTAGGTATATTTTCTTGGCAGGGCTTTGGCCTAAAATGTTGCATAGATATATTTTTTGAAAAAATAAATGTGTAACGAATGGACACAATTATTCATTATCTACTCTGCTGTTAGTATGATAGACTGGACATAACTGAAAACCTGTAGTTTTGGGGAAAATGAAAACAAGTACATTACATAATTGTTTAATTAGTAAGTAAGAAGTAAAATTGCTAATTCAGAATCTCTACTACATTCAATTTGGAAGTGGAATTGAAACTTGGCAGTATTCGAGATTGCTCTACCAAGTGAATTCCTGGATTTTTGATTCAAAGCCTTGGCTTAATGGTACCAGTGTAAAAAAATGTTTTAGCAAACAATTGCAAATGTTCCTACCATGAAATGGCAGCAGAGTTCTGATCCATCCTTCTTTAGTAGTTAAGAGAGGAACCAGCTCTTGATGTTCTTCCATCAGTTTGGATGAATGCATTGCTTGCGTTCAAGTACTTGAAAAGATGGAAAGAAGCAAACTCTTTGGCTTTATTTACTAAGGATGGAATAACTTTAGAGTGGCAATTAAGAATGCTGGACTTCTATTTTCAAATCTCTCTTCAGCAGAGGAAATGACCTGTCAGTTGTAATCCCAGGGTTGCTGTAAGGATTGTTGGCATAAATTCTCTCAAGGTTGATGTGAGGATAGCAAGCATGAAAATGAACTGGTCTTTTTAGGTTTGGCTGGGAAGAAGTTAATGGATGTTAGCAGTAAAAGAAACTAGGTTTAAATGATTGCTGTACCACAAAATTATCTGCATTAGTCTTCTACCAATCTTCATCAAATCTAGATCAATGTTTTTCAACTTTTTTCAACCTTCGCAAGTTTAAGTTGGGTGGGCTTCAATTCCCAGAACTCCAGAGCCAGAATGGACTTCATCTCCTTTTGCATGCTGGCTGGGAAATACTGATCTAGATAGCAGAAAATTTGTCTTAAAATTATTTTCAATTGAGAAGAATGTGAATGAAACATTCCAGGGTAGACTGCAGTGGCAAAGAGATGTATAAATGTCCTATCTCTCTTACCTGTCTCTCAAAGTCTCTTTAAATTTCTTGGCTTCCCACACTTACATTAAGGGAAGGATGTCGCCATCATTTGGCTTTTTCAGGATGTGAAAGCAGCTAGGGAGGCTTCATGAAGATGGAAAGAGAGATAACTATAAACCCCAATCCCAAAAATAGCCTTGCCTTTCATCTCAAGCAATAAGATAACTTTTTTAAAAATCAAGAAAATTTTGAAAGAAATTTTCAATTTCTCTGAAAATAAGATAGAAAAAACAACAACCCTCTTTCATATTAGAAGGAAGCTGTTGAGGAACTGCAAGGCAGAAATAAATAACACTGGTTTAAATGTCAGACTGAAACTGCAGACTGGTTCTTTGGGGGGGGGATTTTGTAATAGTGGAAATATTTGCCTGTGGGGAAAGAGTTGGGACGATTTTTCTTCTTGGAGTTCTTGAATTATAAGAGCAATCTATTTTCCCCAATCTAAAACCCATCAGTAAATTGGGTTGCAAAGCTGATCATGTCCTATGGGCAAGATGACTGGGATGTCATTGGTTTTGTAGTCCAACTCATTTAGGGGCATTCAGTAAAGAAGGTTGGAATAGATTGATCACTGATGAACCTTTGTTAGTCTGTTTCTGGCTTCTAGACTTAGCCTACTAAGCTGATAGTTAACAGCAACAACAATAAAATAATACTAACAATTATGCCTTTATAGCAATTGCAGGAAGCCTTTTTGTGGCTGGGAAGGTAGACTTCGGGGGGAAAACAAAAAAACAAATGCAAGAAAGACTAGTAGTGGCATACTATGTCTGCAAGTAAAATAAGTGTGCTAAGTTGTTTTGCGAATTGTTTTAGTAAAAATGTCTGCCAAACTTCTGTTATAAAAGGATCTAATTCAGAAAACCACACAAAGAAACTTGGGGTTGTATATTATAAAACCTAATTATGATAGAATGAAGTAATAAGCAAGTTATATCACTGATCTATATAAAATCTAGATTTTAAAGAAGGCAATGGTGAAAAAGAGGTAACTTTATCGAGAGTTCTGGGTTAAGCAACAGCAACATGCTATAATTCCGTATTGTGGACAGTGATGACATTGGAATTGTTAATATCAGGTGTGAGAATATATTGGGGTAATGTTCCCAACATTGTCCCAACAGTATTGCTTAGCGCATTGTAAGCCGCCCTGAGTCTCCGGAGAAGGGCAGCATATAAATCAAATTTAAAAAAAATAAAATTGTGCCTTACAGAGGAGTTGAAACAGCAATTTCTAAAATCTTCAGCTAGTATGGTCAAATAATGGACATGTACCACACCTTGTTGAATCTTGCCAGGTCTCAAAAACTGAAGAGGGTGCTTGGGTGAGAGGCCATCAAGAAATCCCATAGATGTGACTAGGTTACGGTTAGCCAAATAAAATATCTCAGAAGGTGGCAATGACAAATATGTGCTTTACCGATACCAAGGAAAATTACATAGAGTTGAGTACAACTGAAGGGAGATTTTAACTTTTTAATCCCAAGAGATGACCTCAAATTGGAAGGATTGATTGGAGTAGAAATGTTCAAGGAAAGAATGAAAGAAAGGGGTGAGAAAACAGGCAAGTAATTGACTGATATCCTGAATTATCAACTATTACTTGCAATATGAGTATCGAAAGAGATCCTGAATTTGTCCTCTTAACAAATCCAATTCAGGGACTTGGAACAGGAAGCATCTTTTATGAGGGAAAACCAGGGGTAAAATGCTACCGGTTCGGACCGGTTCGACTGAATCGGTAGCGGCGGTGGTGTGTGGTTCAGAGAACCGGTAGCGGCGGCAGTGCGAGGCTCCGCCCACCTGCCTGGACATAATTACTTCCTGGTTTTAACCAGGAAGTAACATGTTTTTGACCTTCTGTGCATATGCAGAAGGTCCAAAATTGCATGTGACTCACACACGTAGAGCGCGCACTTCCGAACCAGTAGGGAAGGTAAGTAGATTTCACACCTGGGGAAATCTGTATAATACACCTGTATTAATATTAATACAAGGAGGCTGGGCCTGTAGGAAAAGTCCTTCACCAAGACTGAGGGGATATTCAAAGAGCTGAAGCCATCACTGAAGTAATGTTTTCAGAGCAAATTAAATTTATGATCCATGCCAGGAATTCCATTCCCCTTCTTTCTTAGGATCATCTGAGTTCCTTGTGATTCAAAGCACTTTTGCTTTCTAAAAGAGAATTTAAATTATTTTCTCTCCTCTCTCTCTCTCTCCACCCCACCCTTAATCTTTGCAGGCCTTTGCACTGAAGCCAAGTGAAGAACCTTATGATTGCACTATACAGAACTCAAGTCAGATAAGACTTCAGAGGGGAAAAATATCCTAGCATCAGACAGCTCCTGCTTTTTTGGAAGACTCGTCCATCAATTTCTCCCCAAATTTACACCACAGAAGCATCTTCTGGCTACACGCACTGAAACAAGCATCTATAGCTGTGCTTCCATTTTTCTTTCAAAATCCATATTGGAAATCCTTTTCCCACCATGTTCCAGCGTTTCACCAGCCTCTTCTTCAGTGATAGCAGCACAGTTGAAGTCATTGAGGAACCTAAGCCTTTTGTTTCTAAAGAGGAAGAAGAAGATGGATGGCTTATTATTGATCTGCCAGGTGAGAAACATTGGAGGAAATGATTGGATTTTCACATTACAGTTCTCAAATTGCAGAATGGAAGGAATGTGACTAGTTGCATTTTTAAAAAGTGATATACAGGAAAAAAAAGAAACAAAGAGAGATTGGAACAAAAGTAAAGTTAGGCAGCAATTCTTAAATTTATACACAGGTAGTCCTTAATCACTGGTCCTGTTAGCCATCTACAAGAGCTTGTATCCCATACCCATGTCTGAAATCTGACAAGAATCCAAATAATCTGTTTACAATTACATTTTTAGCTTGAAATTTTATGTGTTTCTTAGTCTAGTTTTTTAGGCCAGTCAGACTTCTGCCTTGCTGTTGAGTGGAAATTATATGACTCAATCATTTCCAATGGCAATCGTTTGCTTGCAAATTAAGCGTAGAAGCCAAGTCAACAATGTTGTCCATAGCTTTGTTTTTAACTTGTTTCTCCTTACCAATCCTCTTTAGTTTATTAAGTTACATTCTTGACATGAAACTAAATTATTATACTTCCCTTTTTTACCTTTTGCCCATATACTGGAGTATGTTTTAAAATAGGTTTCAGATTAAAAGAACTGTTGTTTCCTTAAGAACATGATTGTATTTGATCTGTGATTTGGGCTTTATGTGCCTCATGCAGTAGGAGCCTTTAGCACTTCTGAACAGAAACTGGAGCATTAAGCAATGAGTGCTACACTCATGAATAAGGCATGGAGAATTAGCAGATGCAACATACACTCCCACAGAGTGGCTGAGAAAATGGGGCAAGGCAGCATACAATCTTGTTTCTCCAATACTCCTTCCCAATGTTCAACTGTTCATCTATTATTTGCTGTGGAATGTAGACGCATGAATTTAAACTTCCCCAATATAGTTCAAATGAAAATGCCTCAAAGTTGTTTAGGTGAACTGTGGGAAACAGTTGAGAAACAGGAAAGAGACAGCCCAACAATACGGCTCAGGGCCCCCTCTCTTGCCTTAGCTCAGTTATTTCTTGAAAAAAGCAGGGAGAGTCATCCCGGTGTCTTTCAAATTTCTTTAAACCACAATTCCCCTCAATACCACCATCTGATCATGTTGTAGTTGTTATTCAAAGCAAAGACACCGCGTAACCTCTCCCTAGAGAAGGACAGGAAGCACAAAAAACCAGGATGCATTGAATGACAGGGATGGAAGCCAAGTGAACTACCACTAGAGGATGAGGATAATCTGTTCATTAACCAGCAGTTTCTGAACAAAGGGAAAATGTAGAGTTGCCTTTTTTTCATGAGAGACACAGGTCTTACAAACGTGGCATTATGAGAGAAAGACATCTGGAGGAAAGAATATTGTTCCTTGCCTCGACTGTTTCCTGACCTGTGGCCCTCCAGAATTTGTAGCTGGAATTATAAATCCCAGTAGGCTTAGACAAAATGGCCAATGTTAGGGAATGCTGACAGTTGCAATTAAGCAACACCTGAAGGCCCACAGATTTCCCATCTTTTTAATTCCTACACATTGCAGTATGTGAACTAACCCAGCCAACATTGGTGAGACTGATGGATGTTTCATAAAAATTTCCTGAAACAAATAATAATAATAGTACATAAAGATAAAGATTTCCCTTGTCCAGTCATTTTCAACTCTAGGGGGTGATGCTTATCTCTGTTTCCTAGTTGAGGGAGTCAGCATTGTCCAAAAACATTTCTGTGGTTATGTGGCCAGCATGACTATATGCCAAGGTGCACGGAATGCTGTTACCTTCCCATTGAAGTGGTACCTATTTATCTACTTGCATGCATGCTTTCAAACTGCTTGGTGGGCAGGAGCTGGGGCAAGTAACAGGAGCTCATCCCATCATGCAGCGCTCAGATCTTAAAAGCAGGCTGTCAGCTTTCCAACTGACAAGCTTAATGTCTTTAACCACTGAGCCATCACCCCCACCCCCCATTACAAAACATAATACTTTATTAAATTTATATGCCATCCAGTTATATAATTTGGTGTTTCTTTCATTTCTATATTCCTAACCAACATAATCATTGTATTAGCTAGGGGGTATTGGAATTAAAACTGATTTGGTTTGGAGGGCATCAATTGGAGAAGATTGGTTTAAATCAAAATAAGCATTATATGTAATGATTATATGAAAATAGCCATGGTCTGTATATATCTTGATTAAAATGCAATGCTGGTTGCCTGGGATTGGGGAAACAAAAACAAAAAACTAAACACGTTCCTCTGGATAATCATGGATATAATAATGATCACCTTCTTCCTGGTACCAGAATTGCACAAGGCTTATTAAGACATCAGCAGAGTATCCACCTTCAAATCCATCAACTGTGATGAGCAAGCCAATGATGTAAACATTATTTTTCTGCAACAGAGGGAAGATGTCATCTGCTTAAGCACCAAGTGAATGGATAGGTTTGTTTGTTTTTGCAAATAAATTGGATTATCATAAGGATTTTAAGTTTTCCATTTTTAATATTATGAGCAGTAGGCTAACCAAGAGAAAATGATAGAACAAAGAAAAACAATTTTAAACAGAAACCAGAATCTTTTTCCATCAGAAGATCTTAGTTCACCTAGCAGAATAAATGGTAATATTTAATTGTGAGATGATTTGGATTTCTAATTAAATTTAAGGCCGGGTTTCTAATTAACATGAATTACACTAGATCAAGGCCTTTTATTAAAATTTATTTCTTTTAGAAGCAGAAAGTAAGCACCATTTAGTTCAGTAAAGCTTCTTTCCAGGGACAGATTGCAAACAATATATTTTGCAAGCTAATAAATAATATGCTACTGTTGTCCTTAGGCAGTTAGGATAATCTCCTGTACTTCAAAATTTGCAGGCACACCTCTGGATTAAGTAATCATAATCTAGGTTAAATTCTATGAGATAATTGGATCAGTGCACTGGCACACAGTATGCAACTTGTTGTCTATGAGAATTCTAATTTAAATACTTTGAAAAAGAGCTTATGCTTGATGTATGAAACACTTTATATTCCTGTATCCTGTATCCAAATACATGAGAATTCAGAATTGCTGCTGCTGTTTGAAATGGAAGCCAGGCAGGTGAGCTGCCATGATTTCTCCATTTAATTTTAGAAAAAGCTACAGGAAGTTTTGGTTTTGATCAGAATTCTGTCAGTGACTGCATGGGATTCCATTTTCCCTCTGTTTTAAATTACCTACTGACTGTTATTAATCCTTATAGGGGAATGTGAGAATGGTGTATAAGTAAGACTGTGTTGGTCTATTTGTGCAAGTGACCCTAGTATTGTGCATAGAGTTCCAGAAGATGTGGTGATTGTCCGGATGTTAGCACAGTGAAGTAGTCCAGACAAGAAGCATGTTTAAGAGTATTAGCTTTATCATTATTATAAGGTTATATTAATAGAATTTTACAAGCCTGAAAATATTTCTTCCATACTTTCCTTTCACTCTTTAGAAAACTAGGGAGGGTCCTTTCTGAAATGTTTCCCACACTTTCCCCCTTTTGTGGGCTGAGATACCAGTTACACACCAGTTGTCCAGTCTGCAGCTCTCCCTCCTTCTGTTTCCCAAGGTCTTTCCCACATACCATTACACCAGGGCAGAGATGCCCAGCTTTCAAACCCAGGAACACACTAGAAGAGGCCTTGAGCCCTTTGGAACTGGGCTGTGGAAGTGGTGGGCGAGAGCGCGTAGGCATTCCCAATTGCACGAGCAGTGGGCAAGTGCATGTGTGTGCACTCCATTTGCATGAGGTGTGTGTCTATGTGCCCGCCGCTTGCATGAATGGAGCTGAGCGCACATATGTGCTTGCCTGCCGTTCATGCAGAACCATGAAGAATACTTCAGCTTCAACCAAAACAATACAAGAGCACACAATAGATACAAACTCATGGTAAACCGATCCAAACTAGACTGCAGAAAATACGACTTCAGTAACCGAGTTATCAACGCCTGGAATGCACTACCTGACTCTGTGGTTTCTTCCCCAAATCCCCAAAACTTTAACCTTAGACTGTCTACTGTAGACCTCACCCCATTCCTAAGAGGTCTGTAAGGGGCGTGCATAAGCGCACCAGCGTGCCTACCGTCCCTGTCCTAATGTTTTCTTTTATTTGTATCCTTTTCATGTATTTATAATTATGTTTACCCTTGTATCTGTCATAAAATACATGCTTGATGAAAATAAACAAATAAAAATAAATAAATAAAAAATCCAATCCTCCCCGCCCCCCTTGGCCAGTCCGCAAAGCTGGAAAGTTGGTGAACTCTGCACTAGAGGGCAGACTCCCCAAAACAAGACAAAAACCAAAGTTGATATAATTTAAATTGAAACTTCCATGGAGTGAGGTTAATCTTCTTACACCACACGCACTTAATTATTTTCCCCCTTCGTCACAGTAACACATTATATTCCACTGGTACTTTTGGAGTGGTTCTGAAGTTCCTGCTACCCTTTGGAAGAAACAAGTTTTCCTTCCCTATTAAGGAGGATAGAATAAGACTTGTTACAGCAGCCAATGCTTTTTTCCTTCTGCAGTTAGAGATGCTTTGAGGCAGGGCGATTCAGAATTAGAAAAACAGCGCAGGGAAAGAGCTCTGTTGTTTGATCAAAACAAGAAGCAACTTCATTTTTCTTTAGATAATCCCCTCCCCAAAGGTCAGCAGATCTAACCAGAGACTTGATTTGGGATGCCCACAGTGTCCCAGTAACTGAAGCAAATGTCTCCATGCGTAACCTTAGTGCTGTACCCATAGGCTTGGATAATGATAGCCATACAAAAGTCCAGTTTGGTTCTAATAGAAGCACTTTGAAAATTAGACTTTTAAAATATTCTATTTTCTGCAATGATCTGAGTCAGCAAACACGTTTCCAAACCTTACGTTTGAAACCAACAAATCAAGGAAAAAGGCATTGCAACACAAGTAGGTATTCTAATTTAGGTGGCATATATTCCTGGAATATCACATTGGGAATGACTGCAATAGAGAAGAAAATGGCAATGTAAAGGCAAATACAATAAAGGACAAATACTATGTGCATTGGCTTTGTGCAAAAATATAGTGTGGGACGCAGTCCCAAATCTCTGTCAACCGCAGCTGCCTTTGTGTCCTGAAATTCTACTCCTGAAGGTTCTCCACAAGTGATGTTGACATCAATTCTGACATAGCAACATGCTGCCATGTTCCCATGACATCACCCTCCTTAACAGCCAAACACATTTTCTTCCAGCTCAGCTGTGGCACCGTTCAAATAGCAAAAGGTCTGTTTTGCAGTTTGCGACAATAGACAATCTGGGGGATTAGACGTGGCCTGCTTTCCTGTTTGTGGGAACTCTTGGCTAGTTCCGCTCCCGCTGCCTGAATTGGGAGCTCTCTAGTACTGTAGATTTTAAGAAGCAACCTTATCAACAAACCTCACCACCATTTTTTAAGCTAGTTTTATGGTGCCTATAAAAAAAAAAGCACCTGTTCAGCCTGGTTTTCTCTGCTTATATAAACTGCCTATGACAAACAGGCTTCATTTTCCTTCTCAGTCTCTGGGCTAAAATGGGCCATTCTCTCTCTCCCTCTCCCCACTCCCAATCTCCCATATAAAAGTTCTCTCCTGAAACATACAACGGTTGACACAATCGATGTTGCAAGCTGGAAGAAAAATTGTCTGGCTGCATAACTAGAGTGCCACCATCCCAGCTTTCGGTATGAGTTCATATGCAGGAAGGATGACATCTAGATAGGCCATTTTTTCCCCTTCTACAAAGACCTCAAATAATACTATGCAGGAGCTGGAAGAGAATCAGTTCATTGCAATGCAAACTTGGTGATCATCCAGCTTGATAGACCTTTTAGCATTTGAGGTTTACATGCTTAATAGGAATGTATAATACTTTACATTTAATCCAAAGAGGTGTTTTGAAGCATGTGGCGTAAAAACACATCACCTGATGCAACTCTTTGAAACAATCCCTTCCCCCCCCACCCCGAAACTGGAAAAGTTAAGTAAAGCCAATGAGGCTACTACATGAGCCTGAGAAAAGACTGCACTGCTTCCAAGAGTTGCAAACAAGTGACAATTATACGACAAATTTTGGTGCAATATTTGTTAAAATTATGCAGCTGAGTTCTCTCTAAAAATGTATAGGTTTATTGCTTTAATTTTTTTTAAAAAAATCTCTCTTCCAGTGTGTGGTGATTGGGTCAATTTTAGCAGAATAAAATAGAAGGTTAATTTTATTGAGGAAGGCACTTTTTAAAAAATCCTTGTCTGCTGGAGTTGCCACCCATCTAATTTTAAATCATCTTCCCTGTTCCCAGATTTCCTTATGGAATCATTTTTTGTTCCTTTTTTGAAAAATAAAATCTTGCTGTAATCTCCTTGAATTTAGAACAGCACACATTTAAAGACATTAGCATCTATAGCTTATCAGCAATTGATTTTTACTCTTTGGAAGAGATTTAGGCATTCTTATTATTTGCAAATATTCTTCTCACTCTTGTGTCTGTTTGGTTATTTAATAACCCAATAGCATAACTTACTGCCTGATTTGTTCAGGATATTTATCTCCCTCCTTTATGCAGCATGATAATTATTGGGATATTTACACAGGCAACTGAAGTAGACCTATTTTACAGCCACAAATAAAATAGCACACACAGAGAGATTTATATCAACTGGAACACCCGACAATGTGGCAAAAAAATGTCAGAAAGCACACCACAAGTGATACATAGCTGCAATCTCAAGTGATGCTGAGTATTGGCGTCACAGGATAGTAAAATATCTTGAGGCAGTCCTGAGTTATCAGGAAAGACTTCAGGATGAGTCACACCAATGCTTTTGGGGTACCTTTTTCACTAATAATGCCCCTCCTTTCTCTTCTCCTTCCCTCCCTTCTCCCTTCCCCTCCTCTTCCTTCCCATCCATTGAATATATTGAATGTGTGCACCGTTTTCCTTCCTGTACGCCCCCTGCACTGCCATGGATTCCTGTTGAATGGCTTTGCATTATGATATTTCTTTTGAATTTTGTTTGTGTCATTGTTGCTGCTGCTCTGGCTGTTCCCATTTTGTGTGGCCGGTGATTGCTGCCATCTCTTATTAGATAGTTTGGCTTCAAGTCTTGGCACTGAGCAGTGGGTAGGTGAGAAGGATTCTGTTTGCGCTTCCCGTTGCCGCCATGGGTCCCTTCCACCTACCACGTCTTCACCCCACTCCCTCAGTGACTGTGTCAGCAGGTCCATGCCCTCTCAGCCTGACCCCTGCTTGATGGATGAGAGTTGGTTTGTTACCCCTCCCCCCTGTTTTACTGCAGAAGGTCCTGATCCTGTCAGTATGGAGAGCAGCCCCATGGAGGATCTCTTGATTGAGCATCCCAGCATGTCTGTATATGTCACCACCACCAGCAGCATCATTGTGGAAAGAGAGGATCCTGAGGAGAACATCCAGGAGAAGTAAGTTCAGGGTAGGGCCTAATAGTTTCAGACATTTACTAAGAGCCTCCCATGTTCCTCTTCACAAATTTCACAGCTAGGAAAAAATATACTGCAGCCCAACTTTTCCTGAGCTGGTAGGTTCTCAATGTTTTGAGGTTATATCTCCCAGCATTGCAAGCAGAATATTGAATGTATACATTTAAACTTATATAAAAGTATACCCAGTAAGTATATGAGAGGAGCCAAATAGTTAGGGGAGGATTGCAACAACTTGGGAAAACTTCTCCCCCACCCCCTTTCTATAAGGCTCTGTGAAATCTTTGGGACTTACCTCAAAGTACATGTGAGCAGGGTTATATTATTTGTTGTAAAAAGAATGCTTAAGGAATTTCATTTTTGCAAATGCTGCTAAGTTCCGATTTGACTATCGCTTCCTATTTTATTAGATTGGTTGGAATGTCACTCTCCCAGTTAAATGTTTTTTTCTTCCAAATGGATTCTTTGATGTATCAAAATAAAAATATACTCAGATATTCTCAACTTTCATAGAGTACTGTTCATATTTCTGAGCTCCAAATATGCCTACAAGTATGACAGTATTTTTATTTGTTTATATCAGTACTTTTCCCTACTTGCTGGAATGATATCACCCTGGAATTTTGCTACCTATGGAGGTCAATGAATGTACATTACAGCAGATACATGCTCAAATACGTCTCCTGCTGCCTGGATGCACGAGGCCATCAGCAGTCCCCATTCACTCTCCTTTGGTTTTTATTGCATAGCTGAACTGCCTGCCTGAACAGATCCATAGTTATATAACTTTACCAGTGGTGGGTTCCTCCCGGTTCGGTCCGGGTGGCCGAGCCGGTAGCAGTGACAATATGATGTCACCGAACCGGTTCTCCACCCCCCCGCCGTCCCACCCCCCTACCCCCCCTATGTTATTCTTACCTTTTATTTGGTCCCACCCCCAATCTATTGCTGCCTCCTCAGTCCCAGCTGATGACTAGAGGGAAAAAAACTGTTTAAACTCTTGCCGCAGGGCTTCAAAGGGCCGTTCTACAGCTGATCAGTGTTAAAAGCAAACAAATGAGTTGGGTCGTAAATGCGAGGACTGGTCGTAAGTGCGAGGACCTTCCAGAAATGACTCTGACCAGCTAGCCACGCCCACCTAGTAACATGACCTCTAAGCCACACCCACAAAATAAGCCACGCCCACAGAACCGGTAGTAAAAAAATTTAGAACCCACCCCTGAACTTTACCCCTGAAAAAAGTAGGAGGAAGGGACATTTCATGAATTGTCTATAACAGGGGTGTCAAACTCAAGGCCCGCAGGCTGGATCTGGCCCATGCGGTGCTTAGATCTGCCCCTTGGGGCTGCCCTGGAAACAATGAAGGACTGGCCTGCAGTGCCTCTGCCAGTGAAAATGGAGCTCAGGAGGGCTGCGTATGGTCCTCCTGGGCTCCGTTTCCGCTGGCAGAGAGCTGCAGGAGGCCTTTGCAGCTGAAAACGGAGCCCGGGAGGGCCGTGCCTGGACTGCAGGTTGTCAAGCTGGCCACGCCCACCCTGACTATGCCCACCTAGCCCCCTGAGGTCAAACACACCCTGATGTGGCCCTCAACGAAATCAAGTTTGACACCCCTGGCCTATACATACAGCTATCATGCATTTTGTTGTAGATTGTGGGAGTTGTAGCTCGTGTTCCTTACCACATTTATGGATGAGTTGCTTACATTAATTTTTTGTGAATCACTCTTTTGCTATTTAGAGAAAATGATATGCCCTTGGTCCTTTGAAGTAGGTGGTTGCCATATCAAAAGTGCTGTGTCCACCTCACCCTGTATGCCTTTTTTTCTGCAGTGAAATACCTGAAAACTGTTTACAGCGCCGTCCCCCACACCACTCCACTTCTCTTGCTACCAAGGCTGCCATCTTGGAGAAGGTCAATCAAGTGCGTCGGATTCAGAGGGCAAAGCAGTTGGCAGAGAAGCACAAGTTGAGTCAGAAAGTCATGAAGAGGCAGAACCGTGCCAGAGAGTGCCGCCCACAACGGGCCAAATCCCAAGGCCACTTTGTCTACCAACCATGCCAGCGCCAGTACAACTACTAAGCTACTTCAGGAAGTCTACACTGTGGGGCATTATCCTTTTAACTTTTAGCTTCACTAGCTCTTCACAATGCTTTTTCCATCCAAGAGGGTTGTCTTCACTCATTTTCTGAAATTAATTGTTCCTCCCTGTGAGAACTTCCTACATTCTCATGAACTTGCAACATTAAATGGTAGATCTTTTGTGGGCTTTTCTTGAGCTTTATTCCCCACCCTGTTTTTAGCAAGTACAGAAAAAGTACATTTTTCTGATCAATGACTTCTTTTTTTGCATTTAATGTCCCATCTCCTACTCTACATCCTATTTCCAGATTTTGATTTGGATCTCATAGTGAATGAAACACAACATGCCTTGCTAGCATTAAGAAACAAGACAGCAAGTCAACTTTGAATCTCCAATATATGGGTTTTTTTTAAATGTTGGAAAAACATATATGTATCTTGGTTGTTAAGAGAGACCATGTTTCTTGTGTGAGTGTGTTTCTTGGTCCTTAGGTAGCATGAATTCACACACTGGCTATTGTAGCAGTTGCCAGTGTTAGACTAATTTGGTGCTTCCAGTGAATATATCACCTTTATTTTAATTTAAATAAGTTACAGGAGGAACATGGTGCCCTGTTATTTCTTTTCATCCCTTGTTATTGCACTAGAGAGCCTGTGACATCAGTGCCTTTCTTTTTGACATCATGCTCATGACAAAAACAAAACAAAACAAAAACCTAACAGATTGTGATGTCAAATGGAGATACCAGGTTCCTGTGCAAAATGGAACACAAAAAACAAGAAAGAAGCCTAACGGATCCCAAGTTAAAGATTAATGACATGTATTTTAACATACTTCCTTCCATGAAAAATAAATAATTTGTATATTTGTTTCTTTTGCCGAGTTGATGTAATGGTTGCTCACGAATTATCAAGGAATATCCTTAATTGCCTTGAGGCTGCAAGGCAATACAATGAATATTTCTGGGAATTTTGCCATTGACTTCAAATGGAATATAGATAGAACCTGAATTCTCTGTTCAGGATGTCACGTGATGCAAAACTGCGACTTTTGAGAGCCCATTTTGAGTAGATGCAATTAACATTAACAGTTTACAAATACTACAGAGGATATGTGATTATGAAAAGGACAAAGTGGTATGACAACTTTTCCTCCATCTGATTAGTTGCATGGTTATCGAGTTTCTTACAATACTATTAATGGCTCTATAATTTAATGATCAAGTGTTTAGAAAAAGATGGGACAACCTTTGAGGGCTCACTCAGAGGCACATTTGGAAGCTTTTGGAGCACTTTTAGAAAATGGTGCATCTGGGAATGAGGCCCATGATAAATATACCCATTTATCGGAAAGCCAATTGGAGAGATTGCTCACCACTACCCAGCCTACCTTTCTAGGCAGGTGGGCCTTTTTCAGTATTGTTGTAGCTACCCACCAATCCTTATTTCCTAAGGACTTTTAATAGGATGCCCATAAGGCCTAGGGACATTCTTATTAGAGGCTAATATGTATGTTTTGCAGCATCCCAGCTTTTGATTATTTTAAAATTAAAAATATCTAAATTAAAATCAAGTTGAGTGAAGAGCTTGGTGTGTGCATAAATAAATTTTAAAAGAAAATACAAACATAAACGTTTACAAGTGCACAGCTTTTTAAAATATGTTTCCATGAGGCTGATCATGGACACTTCTTGTAAGAGAAATACACATAGCCTTCATATGAAGCATTTCTAAAGTGTTTTTCCTTTAATCTGGTGCCATTTAGTTGTGTTGAAATCATATGTTCACAATGTCCCTAGCTAAGGTCCAACACTATTTTTTTGTCTAGTTGAGAAGGTCAGTGAGGCTTTTGCTGCGACTTCACCCAGTTTTCTAAGAATGGTACTCAGAGGATATTTGATGAAAGAAGTTGATGCTAGTGACTGGATCTTTACTTTGTGCTGTTAGTTTCCTATGCTTAGTTATTTAAATTCAAGGGTTCTTTTAACAAAACAGGGGCAGGAATCTGAAAATAGGAAAGAGAATGTTTCCAGGCATTAGGATCCACAGGCACCCACTTGTCCACCTTGCTTTAAAAAATAACATGCAACTACATTTTGAAAATTTGGATTCCCCTTTGAAGTACATTTCAAAACTGAATGGTATTATTCCCTGTCTGTAGCATTTAAATCAACATTATTTCTGAGTGAACTAGATTTCTTTGAGGTTGTATTGGAAAAGGGTTGCTCCATTAAAAACAATCACTTTTTAATAGCCATAACAGAGGTAGGATAATTATTTCAATTTCTTCTTGTTCGTTGTATTTTTCTTCCTTCTAATTAGGAAAATAAGAATATTCAGATCCTGTTTTTCAGCTACATTTATTCTTAAAAATACTTTTCCAATATGATGGAGATACCATATTTAAATTCATTTTCTGTATTGATTTTAGGAACTTTTACCTCAGAACAATTTAAGACTTGATTTTTTAAAAATAAAATCTTAGAAACCCTCTTTTGACTTTAGTAAAAAGGGGACATTTATTTGCATTGCAGAAGTAATCCATGGTTTTACCACACTTATTGACAGCAGCCAAGATCTGGAAAAAAACCCCCACCCAAATGGATACATGAAGAGATAATATTGCCCCCATAAAGTACGAGAGTTTCACATCAATATAACTGAACAAGTAGAAATGTGATAAATATAGGACTATTTCTATTTTCTCCTCTGATATCTCTATATTTAAATCTAGGGAGTAATTTAGATGTATTTAAAAACACAGGTATCACGAGTTTTATACATTTGTATTTTGAATGAGAAATCCCCATAATTATCTTTTGAAGAATCTTAAGTACAAAGTAATTTGTCATATGCCATTGGAAAATGGAGTTATGATCCAAAAACAAAATCCTTATGGTAAAAGAATTAGCTGTATAGTTCTGTGAATCCTGGTCTATACAGGTGAAACTCGAAAAATTAGAATATCGTGCAAAAATTCATTTATTTCAGTAATGCAACTTAAAAGGTAAAACTAATATATAAGATAGACTCATTACATGCAAAGCGAGATAGTTCAAGCCTTGATTTGTCATACTTTTGATGATTATGGCTTACAGCTCATGAAAACCCCAAATTCACAATCTCAGAAAATTAGAATATTGTGAAAAGGTTCCATATTCTAGGCTCAAAGTGTCTCACTCTAATCAGCTAATTAAGCCATAACACCTGCAAAGGGTTCCTGAGCCTTTAAATGGTCTCTCAGTCTGGTTCAGTAGGAATCACAATCATGGGAAAGACTGCTGACCTGACAGTTGTGCAGAAAACCATCATTGACACCTTCCATAAGGAGGGAAAGCCTCAAAAGGTAATTGCAAAAGAAGTTGGATGTTCCCAAAGTGCTGTATCAAAGCACATTAACCGAAAGTTATGTGGAAGGGAAAAGTGTGGAAGAAAAAGGTGCACAAGCAGCAGGGATGACCGCAGCCTGGAAGGGATTGTCAGGAAAAGGCCATTCAAAAGTGTTGCGGACTTTCACAAGGAGTGGACAGAGGCTGGAGTCAGTGCATCAAGAGCCACCACACACAGAGGGATCCTGGACATGGGCTTCAAATGTTGTATTCTTCGTCAAGCTGCTCCTGAACAACAAACAACGTCAGAAGCGTCTTACCTGGGCTAAAGACAAAAAGAACTGGTCTGTTGCTCAGTGGTCCAAAGTCCTCTTTTCTGATGAGAGCAACTTTTGCATCTCATTTGGAAACCAAGGACCCAGAGTCTGGAGGAAGAATGGAGAGGCACATACTGCAAGATGCTTGAAGTCCAGTGTGAAGTTTCCACAGTCTGTGTTGATTTGGGGAACCATGTCATCTGCTGGTGTTGGTCCATTGTGCTTCATTAAGTCCAGGGTCAATGCAGCTGTCTACCAGGAGATTTTGGAGCACTTCATGCTTCCTTCCGCAGACAAGCTTTATGGGGATGCTGACTTCATTTTCCAGCAGGACTTGGCACCTTCCCACACTGCCAAAAGTACCAAAACCTGGTTCAATGACCATAGGATTACTGTGCTTGATTGGCCAGCAAACTCGCCTGACCTGAACCCCATAGAGAATCTATGGGGCATTGCCAAGAGAAAGATGAGAGACATGAGACCGAACAATGAGAAGAGCTGAAGGCCGCTATTGAAGCATCCTGGTCTTCCATAACACCTCAGCAGTGCCACAGGCTGATAGCATCCATGCCACGCCACATTGAGGCAGTAATTGATGCAAAAGGGGCCCAAACCAAGTACTGATTACATATTCATGCTTATACTTTTCAGAGGTCCGATATTGTTCTATGTACAATCCTTGTTTTATTGATTTCATGTAATATTCTAATTTTCTGAGATTGTGAATTTGGGGTTTTCATGAGCTGTAAGCCATAATCATCAAAAGTATGACAAATCAAGGCTTGAACTATCTCGCTTTGCATGTAATGAGTCTATCTCATATATTAGTTTCACCTTTTAAGTTGCATTACTGAAATAAGTGAACTTTTGCACGATATTCTAATTTTTCGAGTTTCACCTGTATATCTAAAACTTACAATGGATGATTGAACAGAATGTTTTCTATCTAAAGTAGAGGCTAATAGTGCCCATTCAGTTATATTCTTGGTGAACACTATCCTGACAGAAATAAAGATGGTAACCCTAAATACGTATCTCCAAAATTAAAATAATTCATTTAAATATGTTAGAAAAGTGCAAAATGATGAAAAATTGTTTGCAAAATGAATAGAGATCCAAGTGATATTAAAATATTTGCTTCTTTCCCCAGTTCTGTCATTCTCACCTATTTGCTCTTTCCCCATCCATAATCAGATACTTGAACATAGTTTCTAAATGGCTCATTCTGATTATAAAGGAATTAGCTGGTGTTAATCACTTAATCCTTACTGTCATGAAGTTGATGGCAAATCCATCCCCTTCCTCCAATGGATTGGCCTTTCTGCCTTGAACAGTTGTTAGTGCTCACCAGTTACTGCTATGGAGACCTGGCAAGGAATCTTAATAGCAGCAGGCTAGAAGCTCAACACTTCATCAGTGGGAATCCTTATCTTTTCCTTGGCACCAACTTCTGAGCTCTAGGATAGCAGCCAAGAATACCAACTCTGTCAGCATCTCAGAATATAATAATATAATATTTATATTTATCAATATGTGCTAATGATCATGCTTTCCCAGGAAGCTATAGGACTTCTGACTCATGAGGTACAGATAAAGTAAATGGCAAATATTCTTAATTTGATATTGATTTCAGAGCATTTATTTAATTTGGAGTTGAAATAGACTATATTTCAAATAGTTAAAATAGACTGTCTTCCCAAATTGCATCTTCTGCTTCTCTTTAAGAATTATTGAGAAAGCAGGTGGCAAATATGATGAAGCTGAGTCAGATGCCAGTTCCCTTCACATGCAAATAAGCCAAGTTATTCTAACTTCTTTTAATTTTGTGCTTGCAAATTTTATCCTCTTTGATTAAATGATTTTGTAACAGCAGCTTCTTGGAAATTGGCAAATCAAGATGACTTATCAATGTAATTCAAACATACTTGTTCTAGATGCCTAGATTTCCATGAATGATTTATCAGTTGACAGCTAGGGGATGTGAATTACTAATGTTATATTTGAATATATAACTTTCTGAGACAATTTAGGGGATAGAGTCAGTGGTGGGATTCAAATAATTTAACAACCAGTTCTTTGCCCTAATGATTTCTTCCAACAACTAGTTCACCAAACTGCTCAGAAAGTTAACAACCGGTTCTCCTGAAGTGGTGCGAACTGGCTGAATCCCACCACTGGATAGAGTACACATTTTGGTGATCCTATAAAGATAGCTCTTGACTT